GCGGTGGCCAGGAGCAGCCACTGCACTCCAGTCTGGGTGACTGAGTGAGACTCCAATTCAAAAAAAACAAAAAAGAACTTAATGAGGGCTTATCTCTGAGTAATGGACCACTAGGCAGCTGCAGAGTCACAGTCAAGACTTTTCCCAGAGACTCCATCACTTTTCACCCTTTAAAGAAATGTGTTCCTGCATTTGGTGTGGTTCCAACATGCAGCATATGTGGCATTTTGGAGGAATGAACTCGGGCTATTGGAACCTGTGATGGCCTCAGGCTTCAAGAGCTATAAGTACCTGAAAAGCTAACTCTACCCCAGGCCCTTATCCAGTCATCTGCTAACACTGGGTGTTGCTGATCTACAAAAAACTATCACACTTTGAGGCTTGTCTTCACACTTCCCAACACCATGAATGCACATGTATCTCCATAATCCCTGACATTATCGACATCATAGCATTACTTTGAGTCACATGTGACTGCCTCAGTGATCCAGTGAATAATTTCAAATATCAATTCTTTGGCTTAGCTGGGATGTCTAGTTCATCAATACCTCTACTTTCTGTTTTACCTCACCAACATTCTTCTATTTTCATTTACCTTCTTCAAAAAAAAAAAAGCTCTCTCCAAGGTGATACTGTCTTCTAGTTTCTTCCACCTTTGGGGACTCGCAACACTCCAGTATCTTGGTTTATTATTCCACATTAATGGCTCCCCAAATATATTCCTGGTTGTCTTGACTTCGAGACACACAAAGCAACTGCCTCATCACTCTCACAGAACACAAAGTGTCTAAACATAAGCTTGCAAACCTCCCACTCCATTCTGCTGGATTCCATTCCAGTGTTCTGCCAACAGTGAAAACTACCAGTTCCCTAGTTTGTTTTCTTGACTCAAGTCTACTGAATCTACCTAACCTTTCCCAAACCCATCACTGCTCCCCATCACACAGCCCAACCTGTCCCCATCACCTCTCATGTGTTCGATGCAGTCTCTCCCACATTTTCTATCTCCCTCCAATAGACATTTCAGACACCAGACTTTTCTCTTTAAATATACTTCTAAAATTCAGCAACTCCACCTCTAGTTATATACCCAACAGAAATGTGTACCTAGGCTCCCCCATAGACATGAGCAGGAATGTTTGCAGTAGTACTATCGATCACAGACAAATCTGGAAATGACTCAAATACCCATCAACAATAGAACTGGTAAGTTAGGGTCTATCCATGCAATGGAACACCACACAGCAATGAAAATGGATGAACCAAGAAGGTGGACAAGGGCAAGAAAGAGGGAGAAGCCAGGCCATGAAAGCATGCCAGCGGGAAATTGGTGCTGTCACATGGCTCCCCTGGGGATGTCTGAGTCTGCACTTTGTAGCTCCCAAGCTCCATGCAGCGCCTACTGTACCAGCCTCTGAGGGCCGCCACATTCTGGTGATGCATGGGCTCAGGCCACTGCCCCAGGCCCTGCACCTTCTCCTTCACCACTTCCAGTGCCAGGTTAGGAGGACACGCTGCACGGGTTTCTGAAGCAAGGAGGGTTCTGTACAAGCGGACCAACTATCTCACAGGTTGGCAGCTTTGTTAGTTTGTTTTAGATAATAGAATCCTATCCTACTTGATTCACAGGATGACGTTTGCAAAGGTAACAAAGGAAGTATAAAGATGGCAGTTTGTGAAATTAAAGTTTATTCAGCAGACAACACAAGAATGGAATTAATCATTCCAGAAACCAGCATTTCTACATGAAGGTGGTGAATGCAGCTGAAAGGCAGAGGTAGCTGGTTTTGCTGGGAAGCTTCAATGCATGTTTGACTGATACTAGGACTAAAAAAGAAAAAGAAGTGAAACCAGTGAATCTCTAAAAATCAAATGTCTGAAATTCGCCTTTACTGTGACCTCCTAATGCAGTAAGTTCATACGATCCAGAAATTTGTTTACTATGATGAGAATCATGCATCTCCTACGGAGAACAAAACTGAAGCCTTGTCTCTACTGTCACATGTAATACATTCATCACAATGCTCGAGGAATGTGCAAAGATAGCCAACACCAAGTTTAAGCCTGAGATGTTTCAACTACCCCATCTAGATCCCTTAGTTTCTCCAGTGTCACTTTCTCCTGTTCAAATGATGAAGCATTCTGTCAGCTACCCTTGTTCTTGCAGTTCAGAGAGAGGTAATCACTCTAAAAAAGAACCACTTTACCAACTCTCCCAGTGACACCAAGGAACCTACTCAGATAAAGACTCTTATAATGATATCCCCTAGAAGACCCAGATAGACCTGTTCACTGTTCAAAAAATGTATTTAATGGAGATTTGGCATCAGCAACCATTCCTGAAGAAAGTAGACTTATGACCAAAAAAAAAAAAATTCTGAATCGAAATGTCCTCTTCCATCCTTCTCTTCCTGAAGAAACTGAAGTCTCCAACTTCCTCTAAGTATTGCCATGCAAAAGCTGCTGTAATTAAACTATTGTTGTGGGGAGTAGCTTTTTCCCTTAGGATTTCTCCGCACTTTATCTTTATAGAACACTGTAAAATAAACAAACAAAAAATAACCCATGTACTTTGAAGTGTATTTAATATTTGTATAGTTTGTTTGCAAAAGTATTTTCCTAATAACTTCACAGCATGAATGTGCATCTCTTTTTTTTTTAAACAAATGATGGTGTAACATTTTGACATCCATAAAAACAAATGTAGACATTTTTCTAAAAAAAACTGTGAAGAACTGACAGCTTGATTGGTGTGTATGCTTACAAACATGAAATCTTACAAGGTTTCAGTTTGACAGAAGTGTGATACATGTAATGTCATGGAGCAAATGGTCACTTTACCCCAGCTGTAAATGAGTTATGATAGCAGTTTGATAGTGAGTGATTGTATTGTATTCCTTTAACTGAAAAGGAAACATTTAATATTCTCATTATATTTAGCTCAAATACCATGACATATCGGACATTTGAATCAGACTGTACTGTCCTTCATATTGTGAAGTTGACACTACTGATTTGTCAATAACATTGGATTAAAGTGTTTAATTTTTATTTATTTTCTTGTTGCATCAAAAAATGATGGCATCCTACATTTTGTGACCTACCAAATTTGAGATGTGTACATGTTGTTATTTATGTTGTTCTAAAAAAGAGGTTAATGTTGCAGTGAACTTACTTATATCAGAGAAATAAACAACTTTCAATAAAAAAGGAAGAAAATAGATGAACCACAGTTATATACAAATACGTAGGTGAATTTTGCAAATGTAACGCTGGATAACAGAAATGACATGCAGAAAGCCAGTGCCGTGTGTATGTCTGTATGATTTCATTTACTTCATGTTAAAGTCCGTGTAAGGTCATCTGCATGGATAGACGTCCGTCGGGATAGTGACCATTCTTGTGTAAGCTTCTGGGGCAGCGATGTGCTGTTTCTTCATCTGGGAGGTGGTTTCAGAAGTAAGTTCACTTTGCAAAAATTTATCACCATTTGCATTTATTTATGCCCTTTTTCTCTGTATAAACGTTACTTCAACAAAACTTTCCAAAGAGAGGAAAATGAAGACACTTCTGACTCTGGGGCCACCCGCTGGACCCCATGGTTCTGCAGTGCCACGGACAGGGCGGGGTCCTTTGCAGACCTGCTGTGGCCTGCTGTTCGCCAGGAGGCTCTCCTGCGGCTGCTGTTTCCCCCTACCCCGCCCCCTCACGCACTGCCTCCTCCTCCAGCTGCCTCTCAAAGTCGTTCTTGGCCTGCTGTCATGGTGTCCCTAGCCGGGGACTAGACAGAGACTAGTGCGAGGTCTGCCGTAGTGCTGGGCACCTGCTGGCCTTCGCCACCCACAGGCCCAGATGCAGCCCCTCGTGGACTGGACAGGCAGCACGTGCGGCTCTCCCCTCCCAGTCCCCGAGGCATCCCACATCCCCCTCCTTCCCTGCCTACCCCAATTCCCCGTGGAGTGGACGCCCAGCCCCTCTTCCATTCTCCCCAACAGCCGCGGACGGACGCCCCTGCCGCGTCCCTCCTCCCCCATGGTTAGGGGTCTTGGCTGGGCTCCGGGTCACCCTGACCTTTGCTGAGGCAGGCATCGCAATACACATGTCCACAGTTGGTTAGGCTGAAGCCCGACGTCCTGCCAGGCGGCTGGAAGCAGCGATTGCAGAACACCCAGCTGGCCATGCTGGGCGGGCGTCTGCGACGTCGCGGCAAGACCCAAGCAGAGCGGGACCCGCAGCCCCGTGGGGTGGCGGGAGGGCAGCTCTGCGCATGCGCAAACGCCACAACGCCCAGCGCCTGCGCAGTGGAGCCTGCGCGCTCCCGCCAAAACCGCGGGGCCCGCAGTACCAAGAACCGGCGCGAGAGGGGCGAGGCGGTCGCTTGTCTGCTGGGTTTGGTCGGAGCAAGTGGAGCGCTAGGCCGTGGAGACTCGCTCCCGCCTTGTAGGCCTCGACTTTGCCTACGCAACGGCCTGTGGAAGCCCCGGGTCGCGCTGGGCGTGGCAGGTGCCATGAGGCCCCAAGTAAGGAGACGCCATTTCAAGGGCAGGTGAGGCCATGCGGAGGGTGCAGGGCTGGAGTGAGGGATGCGGTGGGGACCGGGCCACCAGAGAGGTGGGCCAGGCCCTCCATGCCCGCCAGGATGAGGGGTCAGGGTTGGGGCAGGGTAGCCAAGGAGGTGGACCAGGCCCAGGCCCTCCATGCCCACCACAGTGGAGGGGAATGGGGTGAGGGCCGCCTGGCCAGAAAAACCAGGGAGGTGGATCAGGACCCGGCCCTCAATGACCACCACATGGAGGTTGGCGGGGGCGGGTTGGTGGAGGATCAGTGAGACCAGGGAACTGGGCCTGGCCCAGGCCTACAAAGCCCACCACATACAGGTGCAGGTTTGGGGGGGTGGGCATCAGCGAGACCAAGGAGGTGGACCAGGACCAGGCCCCCGATGCCCACCACATGCAGGTTGGGCGGGGGAGATAGGTGGGTTATCAGTGACCAGAAGGACTGAATGGACCAGAACAGGCTTGGGACTAGGGAACTGGGATCCAGTGACTGGACCATGGGCTAGAAGTAGACCAGGACAGGGTAGAGGCTGCTACTTGCCTCTAACATACACGGGTGAAAGGGCTTGACCTAGGGAGATTATTTCCCTTTTAAAAACAGTAGGTGACCCAGGCAAGGTAGCGCACTCCTGTAATCCCAGCACTTTGGGAGGTCAAGGTGGGCAGATTGCTTGAGCCCAGGAGTTCGAGACCAGTCTGGGCACCATAGCCAAAACTTATCTCTATAAAACATAAAAACAAAATGTCTGGGCGTGGTGGCAGGCACCTGTAGTCCCAGTTATTCGGGAGGCTAAGTAGAAACATCACCTGAGCCCAGGAGGTCAAGGCTGCTGTGAGCCGTGATTATTGTGATCATGCCACTGCACTCCAGCCTGGTGACAGGGTGAGACCCCAACTCAAAAAAAGGAGGTGGGGGTTGGGACTCTCTACTATTTTTCTAACTTCTAGTGAGATTATAGAAGTTGGATACATAGATGGAAGTCACTTTTTATAAAATATACTCCTTACATGATGCTGGCAGCCCTCCATGGCTTAAAAGAACAGTTTTGTGCAGTACTGTACCTGTGAGCCTCATGTGACCATTGAGCCCTTGAAATGTGACAGGTCCAAGTTGAGATGTGCTGTGAGTGTAAAAAATAACTGGTGTTTCCAAGACTTAGTATTAAAAAAAGAATGTAAAATATCTTAATAATTTTATATTGATTATGTGTTAAAATGATAATTTTTGTATATTAGGTGAAACATACATCACTAAGGTTAATTTTACCCTTTAAAAAATCAAATCTTCTTAGTGTGGAGACCAGAAAACTTAAAATTACATATGTAGCACACATCTTATTGCTCTTGTATTATGCTGATCAATACAGAATTTAAACTACGACTAAGATGATGCGTTTAGTCTACCAAATTCAGAAGCTGCCTCGTTAAAGTAACATTTTATCAATGCTATAACATTAATTTCAAGTTCTGATATACTTTAAAGTATAAAAGTAATGCACATTTATGCCGGTATTTTGGTTTATTAACTCAAACATTATGAAAATTGACTGCCTTTATTGATAATATTTTAAACAAGCTTCTTAGCTATAAAGAAGTCTTTAAGGTACTTCATTTGGAAAATTCCAACTGAAATAAAGATTAACGTTTGTGCAAAAGCCCACCATAAGACATTGCTATTTGTATCTTCACTGGTTATTCGAAAATTTTCTTCACGGTCCTATGCAGAAGAGAAATAGACAGGTTTAGTTTCATAAAGTACTTATCTCATAATTTTGAGAGGAAGATTGCTGTATGCATTCAAGGTGTTTATTATTACCCAATTTATATCTTATGCCAAAGTGTAATATCAGATTTTCTAAGACAATCTTTTTTTTAGCCAAGTATAAGAAAGTAAAAATTAACCTAATAAAAGACATTTTATATTTTGGTGTAAAATATCAGGAGTTTGATCTATTACTTTATACATTTTATTTGATACCATCAAAGTGAACATTACCCAATAGTGATAGATCTCATCATTTGAGTTCTAATTTTATGCCAGGCACTATGCCAAGCACTTGCATGCATTATCTAATTATCACACCTGTTCCTATTTTATTTTTCAGATCAAGAAATTGAAACTTAGAGATGACACAAGGTTAGTGAGTGATAAAGCAGATTTGCACACATGTCTGACCAACATCCCCTCAGTGCAGTGACTCAGAAAACGATGTCACAGGAACAAAGTTGTGATTTAGGAGGTGAGCATATTTAAGCCTCTACAAACATATGTGGTGCATTTGGAAGCACTTATTCATTCTGTAAGCTCATACTCTGTACTGGTGGGCACTTTGCTAGGCACAGGGGGTTTAAAGGCAGATGAGGCACTATCCATTTCATAGAGGAGCTCATGGTCCAGCAGACAGAGTGAAGAAAGACTGCTGTCTTCCTACTCCCTGCATGCCCACTCAGTTCTAGCTTAGAAAGAAAGACTGAAAAATAGGGAGTTCATTTTTCCCTTGGTTCAGGGGCTTTGTGTTAAGAAATGTGTTCTTGGCAGGAAGAGATAAAATAAGCTGAATAGGCAGACTGACCCTTTGATAGTTTTGTTCTTTGACTATTTGCTCAATTTGTTCAATTAGATGCTCAAGCTTGAAGGTAACTTCGTTAACTTTGTCCTTTGCTTGAGCAACGGCTGCATCAAGGTCATGTTCTCCAACTCGAATATCTAAGTGGATCCGCTATACAAACAGTAAAAAGGAAGAAATGACTTTAAAAAACAAAACAAAACAAAACACAGCTGCATTCTTTTCCCTTACTTTCTCACTCTTTTGTGTCCTCCCACTCTTCCTCCTTTCTTTCTCTCTCCTCTTTTCATGAGTAGGGCACAACTTCATTCCTGATCTCCTTTTTTCCCTAACTGCCACCCTACTCTTTATTTTACTCAGTAGTCTTTCTCGTAATAATAATGCATTAAGTGGCAACCTTCTGACTGAAAGTGTGTATACCTTCCTGAACATCAAATTAACTATTAGGTAAATGCCTTTGGTGCTGAGAAAATTTGATTAATGCTGTTAGAAAAATTTTCTTTACATATAACTAAATTTCCATACTAAAGTACAAATTCTCTTCATCTGTTCTGAACACGTTTAGAAAATAGCCAATCACCATCTACTGTGTAACAGTTTTATTTATTAGAATTCCATTATTAATTCACCCTTCAGCCTTCACTTGTTTTCAAGCTTGAATAATCACAGTTCTTTTAACCTTCCTTCACAGCTCTTATTTTTTCAAACCCTTTAATCAACTTCATGGTTCTCCTTTGAACTCCTTCCAAGCTCTCCAGCTCCCTCTTTGGTTGCTGTGCTGAGATCTGGGCACAGAACTTTAATAAGTTTCTAACCAGTCTGAATGTAATGGTTCTGCATACCAATGTCATGCTTGAATAGTGCTGACGCTGTGTTAATCAACAAGGATATGGGAAGCATATACTTACCAGCTTGCTCCCTCCAAATGACACAAACCTCGTAGAATTAGATTCTAAGCAAATGATGTGTTCACCAGGTGAATGTGAAGTAAAATAGAATGTTCCTTCTGGGCCGTATAACTTTGACAGTAATACCTAGGATTGAGGATTTCCGTAGTTTAAGTTTATAATCTTCCCTATGTATTCTAGTAAAAAATAATGTAATTTCTAAAGAAGAAATTTTTAAAAATTCACCTTGCTTATAATAAAAAAAATTCAAGCTACAGTAAGATGTCCTTGTTCTTTGTCAGACTGGCAAAGATTTAAAAGTACCCAGGGATGGTATGGAGAAATAAACACTCCTTCATTGCTGTTGGTGGGAATGTAAATTGAACAACCATTTTGGTGAGCAGTTTGGTAATATGGATTAAAAATTAAAATGTATATAATCACTGACCCAGCAACACTAACTATAGAAATTTATTCTATGAAAACACACAAGTAGACAAAGTTATATGTAAAAGGATATTTAGTGTGAAGTTATTTGTAATAGCAAAATTGCATATTTGAAATAATCTTAATAGCTTTCAGTAGGAGATTGACTAAATAAATTAGGCAAAACCAAATAAGGAAAAGTTATATAGCAGTAAAAGAGAATATTAGATCCATATATATTCTAAAGATGTCTATGATATTCTATGATGGAACAATATAGGATGCTGTCTTTGTAAAAAAATATATAGTTTAAATTGCATGTATATGTTTCTATATGCTTAGAAAAGACTTGCAAAAAATACTCACCAAATTGTTAATACTGGTTATATTTTGGGAGAAACTTTAATTTTCTGCTTAGTGTATTCTATATTGTTTGTAGTGATAAAAACAGGTATAGTCCAGACATGGTGGCTCATGTATGTAATCCCAGCACTTTGGGAGGCATAGGTGGGAAGATTGCTTGAGCCCAGGAGTTTGAGACCAACCTGGGCAGCATAGTCAGACCTCATCTCTACAAAAATGTCACAAATTAGCTGGGTGTGGTAGTGGATGTCTGTAGTCCCAGCTACTTAGGGGGCTAAGGCAGGAGGGTCACTTGAACCCAGGATTTTGAGACTGTGGTGAGCCATGATCATGCCACTCCCTTCTAGCCTATACAACAGAGTGAGGCCCCTGACTCAAAAAAATTGTTAAAAACAGATGTAGGACTTCTGGTCTAGCAT